AGTCATAAAACAAGATCCAGGCAAATGGCCTTCAGTTTTTCTTGAGTGACTCTTAGAGGCTTATCATCTATTGATCCAGAAGATCCAGCCAACCTCAAGCAGCAAACCTGGCCTTTGCTGCTCAGTCAGCCCCCGGTATACATAAAAAAGAATAGACAAATTTTCAAAACAGAATAGGTCAGAACAGCTAGAGATAGCCCAAAAAGTGTTTTGACAATCAAGATGGCAAAGAAGAGATGTTGATTAAAAAGATGGACTGAGCCACAGTGGCCATCCTACAAGCCCCAGCCCCTTCAGCCCTGTCCACACACCCTGTGATAAGAGGAGGAACCTGCTAAGGGAGCAATGTACACACTGCAAGGAATTGGGACACTGGACAAAAGAAAGCTCTCAACAGAAACAGGTGGGCCCTTCCCGGCTAAAGCCAATTTTGGCTCTGGAAGAGTGTGTGTGTGTGGGGGGGGCTAAAGCTCTTTCAAATCGGGCCCCCAGGAGCCTATGGTAACCTCAATCGGGGCCCAACCTACAAACTTCCTAGTCCAAATGGGGACTTTGCACTTGGTATTACGGAAGCTTCTGGGGCCCCTGAAACGGTGGTGCAGGGAGCAACAGAAGTAAAAAAAATACAAATGGACCACAGAATGAACTGCTGATCTGGGGAAGGGGGCAGTGACTCATCCTTTCAGCATTCTCCCTGAATGCCCCTTTCCCTTGCTGGGAAGAAACCTGAATCAACTCCCAGCAACTATCTTGTTCTCAGGACATGTGCCAAGGCTACATCTGGAGAGCCCAGCAAAAGCACTGACCATTACCTGTCCTTTGAGTGAGGGTTCCTCCTCCTCCTGGGCCCAACTCAGACCCCTGAATGGGAATTAAAAAGCAACTGATCAGGGATGTTCCAACCATATGAGCTGAAAACAGTCCTCCCGGTCTGACTGAACATGGGCTGCTGGTTGTAGTACAAATGACCTCTGGGGCTGTGCATATCCAAGTCAAACAGTACCCCATCAGTTCAGAAGCTAGAGAAGAGATCAAGGTCTACATCAAATGCCTCCTCAAGACAGGCATACTCACTCCATGCCAATCAGCCTGGAACACTTCTATTATCTAGTCAAAAGCCTGAAACCCAGGACTATAGACCAGTCAAGATATAAGGGAAGTGAACAAGAGGGTGGAAATTTATTCACTTATTCTTAATGTGTATACACTGCTCAGCATGCTACTGCCTGGACATAAGGTGTATACTGTACTGGATTTAAAGGATGTTTTTATCCATCCCTTTGTCAAAAGTAAGCCCACACATCTTTGCATTCAAATGGGGCAATCCTGAACTGGGAATATAGGGGCAACTAACCTGAACCCCATTACCTCAGAGGATCAAGGATTCCCCTACCATCTCTGATGAAGCTCTCAACAGGGACTCAAGTCATTTTTGAAGTCAGTACCCAGAGGCTACCTTACTTCAGTGTGTGGATGATTTACCCTTGGCAGCCAAGGACAGGGAGAGCTGTTTAAGAGCTGCTTGGGGTCTCAGAAACTCTGGTTCACTCAGGCTACCAAGTCTCAAAAATTAAAACTCAAGTTTGTGCACCCAGGTCACACACTGGGGATATGAAGTAAGAGGAGGAAAAAGACTATTGTCACGAGCCTGCATAGAAGCCGTAATAAAAATCCCTGCTCCGGCCACTAAGGAGCAGTTTAGGGAATTCCTGGGTGCCATCAGGTGTGTCACCTCTAGATACCTGGATTCACTGACATTGAGCCCTGAACTTGGCTGTGGCAGGGGACAACACACTCTTGGAATGGAGTGAAGAATCTGAAAGAGGTGAGTGTACAGGCCCCTGCCTTAACCCTCCTTGATGGCACCAAGCCCTCCCTTCATCTTTGTGTCCAGTTATGGAGAAATGGAGGTAGATACGAACACATCTCATTATACACATGCATGAAGTTCTCAAAGAATTTTTAAAAAATAAACTCAGGGTCTTGAGAGATGGCTATATAGTTAAAAGCATGTGCTGCACGTGTAGAGGACCAGAGTTCAACTCTCATTACTTATGTTGTGTGGCCCATAACTCCAGTTCCAGGACACTCTGACACCATTGGCCTCTTAGGGCATCTACACATATGTGCACATGCATACACAAAACACACACACATACACACAAACGTTTTTTAAATAGAATGGTCATCATGTAAAATACTTATTTTTTATTCCATTTTATGTGTATGGAATTTTAAAGCCTGCATGTATGTCTGTGTACCTCATGTGTGCCTGGTTCTTGCAGAGGCCAGAAGGAAGTGTTGGATCCCCTGAGGCTGGAACTACAGATGGTTGTGAGCTGCCTTGTGGGTGCTGGGAATTTAACCCTGTTCTCTGGAAGAACATCCAGTTCTCTTAAATACTGAGCCATTTCTCTAGCTCCCATTATTGTTTTTATTAATATTATTACTATTATTATTTATTGTGTACCATGCATGTGTATGTGTGTGTGCATGTACATGCACATGATGTGCCGTAGCACACATATGAAGACTAGAGGATAACTGTGGAGGCAGCTCTCTCCTTCCACCTCTATGTGACTTCCATGGATGATGTGTGACACTATTCCTAGGGAGATGTGAGCAAATGTCTACTCATACCAGATAAAGAACAGACAAGGAGTTCAAGGCCAGCCTGGTCTACATAATTCCAGAACAGCCAGGGATATGTGGAAAGACCCTGTCTCAAATGAAAAATAAAAACAACTGGAAAGAAGAAAAGGAAGAACAGATGATAGAACAAAGTACTGATACCACCAAAGTCTAACTTGGTGGACCAGTGATTTTTACTGCAGTTACTTACAGGAATATGGGTGGCAGTTTAGTTACAGGAGCAGAAATGACTCAAAGGCAGTTGCATCACCAAAATCAAACTTTTTACCCAGGCAGATCTACCCACACTCCAGGCTTAAAACAGGAGGCAGATCCTGTATACCAGCCCAGTCCCCTCTGACCATCTGATTTCATTCCACCCAAGCCATTCCCAACCCATCTGCACATCCTCTAGTCTTTCTAAACCTGCTCTGATCACATCAGACTTATAACTAACAAAAGACACCCACCTGGCATGATCTCATCCCAAAATTAACAATATAAAAGATCAAGCCAGTGTCTTCTCCTCAAAATCTACCAGCCCTGTATAAATGTTCACCAATGAGAATTACCTAGATGAACTTTAAGTCACAGAATTTAAAGGAATAGTTCATAAACTTCATCAAAGAATTCGAGTTTAAAGAAGACACAAAGAAACCTCTCAATGAAATTAAGGAGAAAGAACTTAAGGAGAATAAACAATTGAGTGATGGCCAAGAAAACACAAAACACAAAGCTGATGGCAATGATGAAGACAATCCGGGATGTGAGAAAGAATCCAATAAGAAGACTGAAACACTGAGGAGGACTAAAATGCAGAGGGAATCAAAACACCCAATAACTCTGATGGAAAATTCAAAGGAAAAGCCTTATGTCTCAGTTACTTTTCTATTCTGTGAAAGAGGCACCACAACAAAGGTAACTTCTAAAAGAATTGAGGGCTGGCTTACAGTTTCAGAGAGGGGATCCATGACCAGCATGGCAGGGAGCATGGCAGCAGGCAGGTGGGCCTGGCGCTGGAGCTGAAACCTTACATCTGAGCCAAAGCATGAGGCAGAGAATGAGAGAGACTGGGCCTGGCTTGGGCTTTTGAAACATCAGTCCCGCCCCTGTGACACACCCTTTCCAATAAGTTTACACCTTCTAATCCTTCCCTAAACAGTTCTAACAACTAGGGACAAAGCTTTAAATATATGAGCCTGAGAGAGCCACTCATTCAAAACATCACATTCCACTCCTAGATCCCCACAAACTTGTTGCCATATCATAATGCCAAATGCATTAATTCAACTTTGGACTTTGGATGTTGAGATTGTGAAAGATAGCCAGCCTAGATTAATCTACCCAGCAAAATTGTCCACCATAATTGAAGGACAAAGAAAAACTTTCCACATTATACATAGCCTAAAATATTATATTCGAGTAAATCCAAGAAAAATACAAGAAGCAATATTTTGGGTTGAAGAAAAATGAGCATAGTAGAAATATTGTGGAAAGAAACATTAATCCATAATTATTAAAAAATACAAAGTACCCCCAGGCATGATGGTGCACTCCTTTAATCCCAGCACTGGAAAGGCAGAGGCAGTCAGATCTCTATGAGTGGAGGCCAGCCTGGTGAGTTCCAGGACAGTCAGAGCTATGTAGAGACCGTGTTTCAAACAAACAATCCCCTACACACAAGTGAAAACACAAATGGCTCCAAAGATCAACAACACAATGAGCATAGTTAACACACACATTTTAATAATAACTTTAAATACTAATGACCAATTCTCCAATCAAAAGGCACAGACTGAATAGAATAGAAACAAAATCCATCTATCTGCTGTCTACAAGAAACGCATTGTAGCTTTAACCATCTTACTGCCTTAGAGGAAAAAGAATGGATAAAAGTACTCCAGTCAAATGAGAGCGAGAGGCAATAGGCATCACTACCCTAATATCTGACAAAATAGACTTCAGACCAAAATTAATCAGAAGGGATCAAAAGAGACATTTTTTTGGGCGGCACTTGGGAGGCAGAGGTAGGTGAATCTCTGTGAGTTTTAGGCCAGCCTTGTCTACAGAGCAAGTTCCAGGACAACCAGGGATACACAGAGAAACCCTGTCTCAAAAAACCAGAGAGAGAGACTTCGTTTGAATCAAGGGAACAATTAACCAAGAATGTGGGGGTCCCTTCAAATGCCACAGCCAGCAGGGTAACAACCTCTGTGAGGCAAAAAGGAAGCAGGTTCAACACAACTTAGTTAGCAGGTGTTGCAAACTTCTAGAGCCAGACACCAGGCAGTTTATTTTAAACATATTTATGTATAATACAATTTTGGAGAAAAGTTTCCTGGTAACAATTATCTCAATCCCATGTGCACAATAAAGCTTAAGGTTCAACTACACCAAAATTCTTTGGCACAGTATATGTGACCTCTTACAAAAAAAAAAAAATGGGTTCTATAGCTTAAGGACCTAGGGTTTGGTGTGGTCTCAATCATAGTCACAAATAACATAATCATCGGCAGGCTATAAAATACATGTACTATCTCCCCTAAGTATGGGGACTGAGAAACAAAGCTAAAGATAAAGGTCCAGGAAGGAAGAGTCTAGAATAACATAATAGTCTGGGGGATTTGGGTGTGTCCTGCCCTACAAGTAGCACAGATTACCAGGCTACATCCACTCCCAGGCTTCTGGGTAGAAAACAGATACACATCCCTTTTGTTAAAGAGAAAAGCCTGCATGTATAATGCTCCTGGTTTCTCTAGTGCTTATCTGTGAGCATGAGGTTCTCTACACAAGAAGAACTACTCTCCTAAATACATGTATCAAACTCTGGTGTACCCAATTTCATAAAAATTGTACTACTGGATTTAAGACACAGATTAACATCAATCCATTGATAGTAGGTGTTATGATTTATTATGAGGGGGCCCCCGAGGGTATCCCACATGTGCAGGAAAACATGTTGGGCAGATGCACGCCATGCGGGCATGGCAGCAGTGGCAGTGACCAGTAATACACACCCAGATGCTGTATCCATGCAGAGAGTTTATTATAATAGAGAGAAAGAGGCAGAGAGACAGAAAGAGGGAGCCAGAGGGGGGGGGAGGGAGGAGGTGTGTACTTCATGGGAGGAAAATTAGAAGGAGAGAGAAAGGGCAGAGTTTTTCCTTAAGAAGAGGCTTCTACATCAGGATGCAGGGTGGCCCCAAGGGGTGGGATCAGAATATTAACAGGTGATTTCAATACTCCACTTTCTCCAATAGACAGGTAATCTGGACAAAAAAAAAAAAACAAAAAAAAAACAAACAAAAAACAGAGAAACATCAGAATTGACATCATACATCAAATGGACTTAACACATATATAGAACAGTCCACCCAAACACCAAAGCATATACATTCAGCTCAGCAGCACATGGAAAATTTCTAATATAGACAATATCCTGGGACATAAAACAAATTTTAAAAGATTGAAATCACTCTTTGTATCCTATCTGACCACAATAGGGTAAAACTTAAAATGGACAAAAAACAAATCTTTAGTAAACACACACACTCATGGAGATTAAACAACTCATTACTGAATGATGAACAGGGCAAATAAGTGGAGGGTTCTAGCAGGCCTGGGCATAGCACACCCAGGCCAGAGCACGGCAACCATGGCACCAACAGGTTTTGCCTTTTACCCTTCTCTCTCCCTTCCTAAACCATTGGATTACATTCCTAATGCCAGTCACCAAGGTCTGTTCCTTTATTTGGTCACTTTCTTATGCCTGACTCATTCCTGAGACTGATCACCAAGATCCAACTGTCAAAACATCAAAGTCCAACCATCAGAATTCATTATTTTGACTACACTAATTGAAATACCCAATCAGAATTTACTCATCCCAGCTCATTCTAACACAGACTCCCCCTTTTTCCCTCTTAAAATTGACACTTACAAAGTTTCTGTCCAATTCAGATCCAGCCACCTCGTCTCTGCTTTGCTTAATAAATGATTGCTTTGTGTTTGGTTTGTGCTTGGATATTGGTGTTTGGGTGTGGTCTGTGCCTAAGCCAGGGTCCAGAGGGAAGCATCTTGCAGTACTCAGGTCCCTCCAATAAGAAATCAAAAAAGAAATTTAAAAATTTTCTGGTACTAAATGAAGATGAAAACACAATACAACAAAACTTCCAGGATAAATTGAAAGCAATGAATGCTGAAAGAAATGTACAGCTCTAAGTGCCTATGTTTAAAAAAAAAATCAGAGTACAAATAAATGACTTAATGATGCAATTCAAAAATTTGGAAGAAAAGCAAACCAAATGCAAACCCAGTTGATAGCAAGACATAAGAAAAATCAGAGCAGAAATCAATGAAATAGATTGATTTTATTTTATGTGTGTTTTGCCTGCATACATGTCTGTGTGCCACATGCATGTTTGGTGCCCATGGAGGTCAGAAGAAGGCATCACATCCCCTGGAACAATATAAAGTATCACTGAATCTAAGAGCTGGTTCATTAAGAAGGTAAGTAAGACTGACAGTTGGCCCAACTAACCAAAAGGAAAAAAAAAGAGGCCTGAAATTAACAGATTTAGAAATCAACAGGGAAATATACACTAAAGACATTCGGAACATTATAAGGGAATATTTTAAAAACCTGTACTTCATTAGGTTGGAAAAACCTAAAAGAAATGGATGATTTCCAGATTCAGCCAAACCACCAAAACTAAACCAAGAAGTCAACAACCTAAAGAGACCCATAACAAATGAGGAGATTGAAATTGTAACAAAAAGCCAGATGGCTTCACAGGAGAGTCTATCAGACTTTTAAAGATCTATAGCCAGCCCTCTTAAATTGTAGAAAGAAGAAAGAAAGAGAGAGAGAGAGAGAGAGAGAGAGAGAGAGAGAGAGAGAGAGAGA